CCGTGAGAGGTCTTTTCATAGAAGACCGTGGGAGGTCTTCTCAAAGAAGACCGTGGGAGGTCTTCTCACAGAAGACCGTGAGAGGTCTTCTCACAGAAGACCATGAGAGGTCTTCTTATAGAAAACCATGGTAGGTCTTAACAAAAAAGGCCATTAGAGAATATCTCATGGCAGATCGTGAGAACTCTTCTCGTACTTCTCTCATAGAGCACAATCAGAAATCATCTCACAGAAGAGCATGAGAGGTCTTCTCATAAAAGACCGTGAGAGGTCTTCTCATAGAAGACCGTGAGAGGTCTTCTCATAGAAGACCGTGAGAGGTCTTCTCATAGAAGACCGTGAGAGGTCTTCTCATAGAAGACCGTGAAAGGTCTTCTCATAGAAGACCATGAAAGGTCTTCTCTGTTAGAAGACCAAAGAAGACCCTGAGAGATCTTCTCACAGAAGTTCATGAGAGTCTTCTTAGAGAAAACCATGAGAGGTCTTCTCAAGGAAGACTATGAGAGGTCTTTGCAAAGAAGATCATGTTCAGTCTTCTCACAGAAGACTGTGATAGGTCTTCTCATGGAAGACCATGAGAGATCTTCTCATGGAAGTCCATGAGACGTCTTCTCATAGAAGATCTTGAGAGGTCTTCTCATAGAAAATCATGAGAGGTCTTTTCATAGAAGGCCATTACAGGTCTTCTCGTAGAAGACCATAGGAGGTCTTACCCATGAGAGGTCTTCTCATAGAAGACCATGAGAGGTCTTCTCATAGAAGACCATGAGAAGTCTTCTCATAGAAGACCGTGAGAGGTCTTCTCGTAGAAGACCGTGAGAGGTCTTCTCGTAGAAGACCGTGAGAGGTCTTCTCGTAGAAGACCGTGAGAGGTCTTCTCATAGAAGACCGTGAAAGGTCTTCTCACAAAAGATCAAGAGGAGTCTTCTCACTGAAGTCCGTAAGAAATCTCTTCGAAAATGCCCATGAGAAATCTCTTCGAAGATGCCCTGAAGAGGTCTCTTCAAAGAAGGCCATGTGAGGTATAAAAGACCTTCAATTTTTCCAATTTTAATTTTACATCTTTCCCCCTCCCCTCTAACCATTCCAACTCACTGTCAATTGTCAGTCATGAACACCATGTCCACAAGTTGACAGATCGTCATGACTCTGTGACATCAAATGTCAATAGGCTAAAGAGAAACTATTGCTCTCAATGTGACCCCCTTCTCCAAATGCCTGCATACATGAGACTCACCCCAACACCAAAAAAAAAAAAAATGTCACCACCATTCTCTCCTCTCTCTGTACAACTCACTCCCTCTGGCGGACTTGCACTTTGGACAGAAATGGTAATGCAGTTGTGAACTGCGTTTAAATTGACAGTTAACATTAATCTTAATAAATTTAATCTACATTAACTTAAACTTGTACTTATCTCATTGGTGCGGCTGTCAGTTGGTGATGTGTGTTTTGTTTAATTTTTTTAGTGTTTTTTTTTTTTTTTTTTTTTTTTTGGGTTAGGCCTTAGTGGCCAGTTTTGCAGTTAATAAACGAAATATTAATTCATGGTTTGAAGCAGTTTTTTTTATTTTTTCTCAGAAGAAGTCAAACCTAATTTGGTATTGTGGCACTGGCAGCAGATGGGAACTGGCAGGCCGCTTTGCTTTGCATTTAGTGTTATGGGGTCACCGGAAGTTTTATTAACCTTTTTTGGAGTGCCAGTTTTTTGTGTTTTTGGTTTAATTGCAAGTAAATAAAATTCATCAAGGCAAAGTTATTAAAATTTTTCTCCAAAACTGCCGCTTTTTATAGCCTACAACACTATGTGTTGGGGGTATTATAAGTTTGATTGGGCCAAAAATTATGTAACACCACGAAATATTGATTTCCCACATAGGAAAGTATATATGGATCTTCCTATCTCGCCGAGCTGAGTCGATCTAGCTATGTATGTCCGTCCGTCCGTCTGTCCATGTTAATTTGTAATCACTCTACAGGCCGCAATTATGGTCCGATCTTCACGAAATTTAAAATGGAGGTGGGGCTAGGGTCAGAATAGAACCCTATTTCTTTTGGTGATGATCGCATAATATTTAGGGGTTGAAATGGACCAAAAACTGATTTCCTGATTTTGCACTTGCTCTACAGGTCGCAATTATAGACCAATCGACGCGGAATTTCGCATGTGGCTAGAGTTTAGGGCAGAGAAGAAGCCTACCAATTTGGGTGGTCATCGGATAATATTTAGCGGGTAAAATAGACCATATATTTTGTGTTGAAAAAATTCAAAATTTTTCATTAAACCGCTAATATTTTAAATCCCGGCGAAATCACAAAGCCATGACAAGGTTACTTCTGATCTTTACATTGATGTTAACATCCAACAAATCGGATATATAGCAAAATATGTGCGATATATATGTCTGTCAAAGAAGATATGCTTGAAAGATCTCTTATATGTCGAGAACGGCTGAACTTATTTCGACAGTTCTCATTAATTCAGAATGGCCTCTTGGCGGGAAAGAAAAAACGTCTAAAAAATCGCATAAGAATATCTCTCTAAAAATGAAAATATTGATTTTGTAAAATTTTCTCAAATTTTTTCAATTTTGTCATATTTTTGGCATATTTTCATTTTGAATTAAACATTTGGTAATATTTCTACAGCTAACAAAACTAAGTAGTTAGGATATCAGGATGTCATATACAGATCGCATTTATGGCCCGATCCTTACGAAATTTTGCATGGAGATAAGATGAGGGTCAGAATAAAAGCCTATTCTTTTTGGAGATGATCGCCATATATTTAGGGGTTGAAATGGACCAAAAAACTGCAAAATTGTCAGCAGGTCGTAATTATGGGGGTTACCGGACATTGCAAAAGCCAAGCAGTTTTGGATGGCCATCCAAAAATATTCAATGTGTGAAGGAGTTTGCCAACTTTTGTAGACAAAATACGAAAATGTCCATTACAGTGACTTCTTGGAGAATTCACAAATACAGGAAAGACGCACTTCTGACTATTTCATTGAAGAAATCAGTCAAAAACCAATAATAAATGTTAATCTTTTGCCACTTCTGAGAGATTATAGGTCTTTGGAAAATATTGGTTCCAGATCTAGGAAGACCATTTACGTGCAACATCTACCAATAAATTGGAAATGAGCAAATAAGTTTAAGTTGCTATTATTCGAAAATTAGAGAACGAAACCTGATGGTTTTCTTTTATTATTTGTCACAATATCTTGTGGAATTCTTTCGAGTATCTCGCCTATATTAACTGTATCGTTTGCTTACTTGTTTTTTTTTTTTTTTTTTTTTTTTTGGAGGGGGGAGGGCAATTATTTCCATGATTAAATAATATTTTGATGCAAAGGCAAAGTTTTGAATCGTACTCTGATAAAATGAAACCCATAAAATGTTCTTCGCAATTTAGATAAGTTAATTTTATTGAAAATGTTTTTTTTTTTATTATTTAGCAATTATAGCTGTTATGCTATTTGTCGGGGTGAATCACTGTATTTACTTTAATACCTGTTTTATTTTTATCATATTCAGTCCATAAAAATATTGTCCTCAGATAAGGCCCCTGATCTTAACATAGATAATTATAAATATATATGAATGTGATGAATAAAGCTTTATGGCAATAAAAGTTCATAAACATATATAAACATCTTGAGTCGGACATGTGAAAATTTGGACGGGTGTTGAGTATATGTCTCTCTCTCTACCTTAAACCACTTATATAAGTAGGGTGAGATAAACAAATTGCAAGAAAGTTAAAAGCCATAATTTTTACATTTTTATACCCTACACCACAGGGGTATTATGATTTTGTGCATTTGTTTGTAACAGGCAAAAGGAAACGAGATAGACCCATAGTTCCTTTTGATGATCTGCATAGAATCAGATTCTGAGTCGATTTATGCATGTCCGTCCGTCCGTCTGTCCATGTATTTTTGTGAACAAAATGCAGGTCGCATTTATTATCCGATTGAGATGAAATTTTACAAGCAACATTTGTTTGGCCCAAGGACGAACCCTATTGAAATTGGAGATAATCGGTCAAAATTTAGATATAGCTCCCATATATATCTTCGTCCGATTTGCCTTTTATTGTGCACCAAACGTGTAATATCAGCCCGAATAGTATGGAATTTTGCTCGTACAACCATATTAGGCCTGGAAATAAGTATGTCAAATTTTATCGAAATCGGTTCAGATATAGCTATAGCTCCCATATATACTGTTCATCCGATTTGTTATTTTTGTCCCCCGCAGCCGTAATATGCACTCTGTAACAACAATATTTGGGGAAATATATCAAATGCAGCTCAGAAATACCTTTGCTAAATTTTATCAAGATCGGTTCAGATTTGGATATAGCTCCCATATATAACTTCGTCCGATTTACCTTTGATTGTGCACCAAACGTCTAATATTTGCCCAAATGAGATGAAATTTGGCACTTACGACCGAATTGAGTCTAGAAGCTAGTATGTCAAATTTGGTGAAGATCGGTTCAGATATAGCTATAGCTCCCATATATACTCTTCTTCCGATTTGTTATATTTGTTAGCTACAGCTGTAATATGCACTCCGTAACGACGATTTTCAGCGAAATATATCAAATACAGCTTAGAAATATTTTTGCCAAATTTTATCGAGATCGGTTTCGATTCGGATATAGCTCCCATATATATATTTATCCGATTTCAAGTTAATTGTGCACCAAATGGGCAATACAAGTCCGAATTTTAAAGATACAAATGCTCGGCATTTTCAGTCCTTTGAACTTTAAATTATAATCATAGCGTGTATGAACTTTTAATTGTTATGCGGAGCTCTACTAAATTAGCAAAGTGGTGTAGGGTATCATAAAGTCGGCCCCGCCCGACTTTAAGACTTTCTTTACTGGTTTCAAATATAGTTCACTCTCCATTCTAATAAAATTAATATTCTCAATTAATAAAAATTTCCACTAATTTATTAAATTATTCGCCATGCATACAAACCTCTTCCTTGGCTACAGCTCGATTACAATTTCCAATTGGTGGTGGCGGCGGAGGCGTTTTTCACACAAGGCGGCACATTGATTTTTCTAATTGGTATTGCGAATGCGTTTCTAGCGATTTTTCATGCCGCAAAAATTTCACTTTTTTTCCAACACCGATCTTTTTCTTTTCGCGTTTTTGGTGATTAATTTAATTAAGCGAATAACAAAAAAAAAAAAACATTTGCCATTAATTAAAGTATTAAATGCAACCATAAATACTATGGCTCTGAGTAGTGGGTTGATGGATTTGTACAATATTCGAATTAATTTCAATTTTTTCTCTTTCAAGATCTGTGGCGTAGCGCTTCGCTGATCATGCCTTAGTCATGAGCATTGAAATATTTATTTTTATTTATTTTTTTTAATTTCACAGAACTTTTTTTCTTTTCTCTTTTTTTTTTTTTTTTTTTTTTTTTGATTCACATATGTTGTGGATTTTTGTGGTTATAAATCGCAAAATCTGTTGTGGTTATTTTGAAATATTGCATCCACAAGATTCATTCACTCACTACTCCACTTCTACTTCCACTGAGGCATTACGTGCGGTCGGCTTGAAATGGAAATAATGAAAATGCATTTTGTTTTCATTTTCACTATGGCACTTGTTTTCTTTGTTGTGTTTTTATTTTATCTGTTGTTTTATTCCATCCTCATCATCATCATCATCGTTTATTTCACTTTCTGTCTTAATTGCTTAAAGCTGAGATTCATTGGGGTTTTCTTGATTTTTCTTTGAGAATGATTTGTTGTCCGTTGGCGATAATTGTTCACAGCTGGGATTTTTTCCCGACTCTGCAACGGTTTTGATAAATGATTTTTTTTTAAGGAAAGAAAACTGTAAACCTTCGTTCTCGAAAAGTTTATCCGATCCTCAAGACTCCAGACTCAAAATAAAGTCTTGGCCCAACCAAGTTCATTCAAACATTGGAGACTACATCAAACCTCGCTTGCGATCGTGTTTCTTTGCCAAAGAAGATAATAAAAAATGTTTTATTAGCATTGTTCGTGTTGTTGTCGTTGTTGTAATTGTTTTCTTTGCTCTTGCGACAAACGCCTTGTCCCATTGTTTTGGTTTTATTTTTCCATTTATTAATGACATTCAAGTCTGCTCTCTCTCTCTGCTCTCAGAGATAGGGTTGCATCCAACCATAAAATCCCCCCGAAACATTTAATGCTCAAAATTAATTAACATGACTCTCGTTCTCATAAAATAAACTCTCTGAGAATTATTTGTTTATTCTCGGCCGATGGGGTTATGGCCGGACCCCATTCTTAATGAACTATGACGAAGCTTTGATAATTAAATTTTCAAACACCAGTCATAGTCAATGGTCAGTTATTGTTTGGTGCTCCGGCAAGTGATGTCTCAAAGGCCGAAAACAACTACACCATTTCCAAGGGAAAAGTCCATTTCTTTCTTGGGCACATTCTGGAGAGAAATTGCCCACTTCCACAGGAATCCTCATGGACTTTAATACAAGGGTTGCCATTTGCGTACTTTGAGGTCAGATATAAAAACATTTTTGGGAATTCGAAAAAAAATAGTACCGAAATAACCAAAACGTACTAAGTGCTAGACCATTGGCTAGGATAGTGAAATTTGAATCGGTGTTGGTGTGAAGGAAAGAATATTGGTGACAAAGTATATATATATATATATATATATATATTCTTGATCAGCCTTAAAATCTATGTCGATTTAGCGATGCCCGTCCGTCAGTCTTTCTGTTCGTCTGTGGAAATCACTCTAGCTTCCGAACGAATTGAAGTGGATTGATAAAACTTCACTCAAATGTGTGTTTTGTCTGCAGAACTTTTGGTATTGAAAATGGGCCATACAAAGACCTAGTTTAGGTGTAGCCCCATATAACGTTACGTCCGGATATTCAGTATTTTGATGATTTTGGCGTTATTATTCACCGGAATTGTTTCAAATTTGGTATTTGAATATCGCAAAGGCTTCTACAGCCTGTGACGCAAATTGTGCCTACATGTCCACGCCTTCGTATAGCCCCATATAACGCCACCTCCCGATATTCGGTATTTTGATGATTTTAGCTACTTTTTTTCACCGGAATTGTTTCAAATTTCGAATTTGAAGTTCGTAACTGGTACTACAGCCTGTGACAGAAAATTGTCTATGCAGGTCCAGATCTTCGTATAGCCCTAATATGTCGGTACCTCTCTATATTCGGCATTTTGAGGATTTTAAGTACAATATTCACAGGAATTCTTTCAAATTTCGAATTTGAGTTCCTAACTGAAGTTCCCAGTCTATGACAGAAAATTGTCTATGCAAGTCCAGATCTCTGTAGAGGCCATATATATTTTGATGATTTTAGCGACGTTATCCACCGGAATTGTTTCAAATTTAGTATTTGATGTTCCTAATGTGCAGGTCCAGGTCTTCGTATAGGCACCATACATCAGTAACTCCCTATATTCGGTAATTTTACGATTTCAGGTACTAAACTCAACGAAATCGTTTGAGATGTCGTATTTGAAGTTCGTAATGGATGCTACAGCCTGTGACAGAAAATTGTGGTTTCTTCGATAAAGCACTTCAGCATTAAAATGTGAATAAATCTTTTGTTTCTCTTACCATCGCTCGTTATCGTGATACTGATAGCGTAGCCCGACGTCAAGGAAGTGAAGGTAAGAAAACAGCAGCATCAGTAGAAATGGTTCGAAAAGTAAAAAAAAGCGAGTTGATCGAAACTCGCTTCGCAGTGGCCGATGAGCTGAACATATCGCAATATTCCATTCGGCAAATATTGAAAAATGAGCTCGGGGTAAGGCCCTTAGAATTCCAAAAAGTGCAATAACTTACACCGCAACAGAAAGAAAATAGATTTAAAAGAGCTAAAGAGTTGCTTCGCTTGGCCGAAAGTGGTGAACTACCGAATTTGGTTTTGGTTTTCCCTGATGAGAAAACATTCTTTGTCCAGCAGTTTGAAAACAAACAAAATGATCGTGTTTACATGCCAAAGAGGTCAGCTGAAAATGTGAACGTTCGGTTGGCCACCAGAACTCAAGCGCCGGCCATGGTGATGGTGTGGGCCGCCATAACAGCCGATGGTCGCTCTCCGCTCGGATTAATCGACCGTGGAGATGTTGCAGCTGGTGTGGGTCGCCATAACAGCCGATGGTCGCTCTCCGCTCGGATTAATCGACCGTGGAGATGTTGCATCAGAATTAATGCAGAATATTATTGCGAAACTATTCTGGAGGGTGTATTAAAGCCTTGGTCACGCAAACATTTTGGCCGCAGACCTTGGACAATCCAACAGGGCTCAGCACCATCGCACTCAGCATGCGCCACCCAAGAATGGTTGCAAAATGAGGTTCCTTGCTTCATTTCCAGCGCACAATGGCCACCAAAATTTCCGGATACCAATCCGTTGGACTATTGTGCCTGAAGTATTTTGGAAAGCAAGGTTGGCACTAAAAAATACCAAAGTGTCGATCACCTCAAGCAAGCGCTTTGCCGGGCCGGGAATGGGCCAAAATACTACAGAGCAACACTTTGGCTTTTGTGCAACGGTTTTATTGGCCATTTGAAGGCCATAATTCGTGCCAAAGGTGACCGATTCCAACAAATCTAAACTTATTATAAAATTTGATGCTACTTCCGACATTTTTTGCTTTCATTCAATAAAATTAAAAAAAAAATGTAAAAATTATGGCGTTTGACTTTGTTGCAGTTTTTTACCTCACCTTTTGGCACTTCCGTCGGAATTCAGCCTAGAAGCATATACTTTGGATTTGAGGAAAATCTGTTCAGATATAGTTATAGCTCTCATACCTTTTGATGATCTGCATAGAATCACATTCTGAGTCGAATTATGCACGTCCGTCCGTCCGTCTGTCCATGTTTTTTTGTAAACAAAGTACAGTCCGCATTTATTACCCGATACAGATGAAATTTTGCACAAATCATTTGTTTGGCCCAAGGACGAACCCTATTGAAATTGGAGATAATCGGTCAAAATTTAGATATAGCTCTCATATATAACTTTGTCCGATTTACCTTTTATTGTGCACCAAACGTGTATTATCAGCCCGAATATTATGGAATTTTGCACATACAACCAAATTACGCCTGAAAAGAAGTATGCCAAATTTTATCGAAATCGGTTCAGATATAGGTATAGCTCCCATATATATATTGTTCATCCGATTTGTTATTTTTGTCCTCCGCAGCCGTAATATGCACTCTGTAGCAACAATATTTAGGGAAATATATCAAATGCAGCTCAGAAATACATTTGCTTAATTTTATCGTGATCGGTTCAGATTTGGATATAGCTCCCATATATAACTTCGTCCGGTTTACTTTTTATTGTACACCAAACGTCTAATATTTGTCCAAATAGGATGAAATTTGGCACATACGACGGAATTGAGTCTAGAAGCTAGTATGCCAAATTTGGTGAAGATCGGTTCAGATATAACTATAGCTCCCATATATATTGTTCATCCGATTTGTTATTTTTGTCCTCCGCAGCCGTAATATGCACTCCGTAACAAAGATATTCAGGGAAATATATCAAATACAGCTCAGAAATATCTTTGCCAAATTTTATCGAGATCGGTTCAGATTTGGATATAGCTCCCATATATATATATTTATCCGATTTCAAATTAATTGTGCACCAAATGGTCAATACAAGTCCGAATTTAAAAGATACAAATGCTTCGGCATGTTTAGTCCTTTGAACTTTAAATTATAATTATAATCATAGCGTGTATGAATGAATTCTCCCATAAAAAATTTTAATTGTTATGCGGAGCTCTACTAAATTAGCAAAGTGGTGTAGGTTATCATAAAGTCGGCCACGTCCGACTGTAAAAATTTCTTTACTGTTTTTTTTTTTTAATTTTTATACCAATATTGTCATATATATTTTTGAATGGACAATCCCCCTTTCCGGGTTTCAATATATTATGCCGATTTTTTTTTTAAATAATTGTACAAAAAAATGTTCCCTTTATGGTCCTAATTTTAAGGAACAATTTTTTTATTGTTGAGGAATTTTTAACAACATATTTAGAATATAAATATTTTCGATAATTCATTATTAATTAATTCATTGTCTTTTACACAGTAAATGGTGTATTTTAATTACGTTTGTTATGATCGGCATAATTCTTTACAAAAGAATACTCAAAGCTTCGGACTGATTAATTGTTCTCCAACTCAAAAGCTCATTCTTAACGGTTATCGCTCATTAACATAACGACAACTCATCCCACAACTGAGTGAGATTCTCGACCCCAAGTGTGGATGGTAAGCTTATGTGCCCATTCAGTAACCGATCTCTTGGTCAAACTTAAAACCCAAAAGCTCTCTTTAATGAATTCTAAGCTTTTTCCCCCACATAAATACTTGTTTATACAACGTCGTAGAATTGTTAAAAAATACAACAACCATTGTTTCGGGAAATAACAAACCCAAAAACACAAAGCTCATTATGTGAGGAGATTCTTGAATTAAAAACAATTTTTAATTATTGCCATTAAGACGCTCTCTCTTCCTCTCCCTCTCTTTTTTTTTTCCACAATGCCGGGGCCGGGACTGTGAGTGTGTGAAGTTATTAATAATTTTAGTGTCGAATTGTCTTGTAAGACAGAGTTTTTTAATGTAGCCCTTGTCACATAGTTTCATGGTGGCCGCTGTTGTTGTTGTTCTTTTTGGGAAGAGACCCACTTAACATTTTATGACCCTGAATAGAAACATCAGCAAAGAATGATGATGAACCAGTACCCAGGGCTATCAAGCCAGACAGCTAGCTGGCTAGGCTGGCTAGGCTGGCTAGTCATTTTGGGTGACAATTGTGAATGTTGTCAAAAAACAAATGCCAGACAGACTGAATGGAAAGAAGTTCTTCTAGTAATTGCCTGGTAAAACATTTCGTGATCATAAAACGAAAACAAGACCCCAGAATGGCTGCTGATAGTCGCTTGAGCCCGAGCTGTGACATGACAAGTGTTTGAGAATAGAAACTATTTCGAAACCGGAAAGTAAACTTCACTTAGAAAGGGCGATGGGGGGAGATTCCCTAATTGTTTCAAGATTAAGACATCGTGG